TACGATGTCTACCAGTGTTACTGGCATTTGTTTGTTAGGTTCTCCGTACTGGTAGGTCAATGGTTGATTGTTGAGTGCTTTTTCAACTTCTGCTACAATAGTTCGTAGCTCTCCTATCGAAGCTGTCCTTTTAGATATTATTTTTTGCATCGACGTCTTCACGCTTCTTATGAGGCGCTCATAAAATCCTCCTCATTACGGTGCGCACTCGGCTATTGCTTTTCACTGAATATGGTGGTCACTGCAGTAATTTTTTACAACTTATGGTCGGTTAATTTCATTTTCAGCCTTTATAAATGTTTGGGCATTGTCCGAGTTGACAACTGCAGGCATTCCCAGTCGAGCGTTAAATCGTCGGAATGCTTGTAGAAAACTCGCTGATGACAAGTCGTTCGTAACCTCCAGGTGTACGATTCTCGTTACAGCACACGTGAATATTAGTACATATTGTTGCATGATCTCGAGCTTGTCCTTTGCATAAAGAGTTCCCATGGAGTAAAATCCCGTGACCTTGAATGACTCTGCTTCGTTGACTCCGTCTGTCGGGAATGGAGGTATCTTTTGAGTGATTGGTCTTGAATTAGGCCTCTTGCAGACTTACCATTTTTTGAGTGCTCTTTTCACTGCATTTCGACCCTGAAATATCCACAACTTGGCCAATAGTTGCGTTAGTGTCACTCGAACTCCTCCGTGTAGTAGCATCTGATGCACGTGATGCATTAGCATTTCCGTGAAATGTCCGTCCTTCGGAATTACTAGGACGCACGGGTTGTGTTCTTGGCTGCACTGCAGTCGTCCCTTCTGTCTGATAATTTCGTCGTCATGAAAATACACTACGTGTTCATTATTTCAGATGTTTTAGCGCTCGCATACGCCTCACCACTGGTTTGTCTCGTTGGCACTTGGGTCTGTCTGATCCAATATTTCTTTGTGTTACCTCTTTTTCTGACAACGGCTCTTTGTAATTTTCTCTTCTTGTGTTGTCTATGAATCTGTGGCACCTATGCTGTCATTCCTAAAAAGCCGTCTTTATGATGAATAGCTTTCTATTTACAAGACTGGTTTATTTTGTGCTCTTGCCGTGGATTGGTGACTTGCGTTTTGTGCTGCTCTTGCACAACTGCATTCACGTGAATTGTGTTGTCTGTGTTCTTTTCCAGTGATGTTATCCATTTGGGACCGTGCCTCCGTACCTTTAAGTGTATTAACTCCTTTGCACTTACTCCTCGTGTAAGTAAGTCAGCAGGGTTGTCTTCACTTTGAACGAATGACCAGCTTGCTTGAAGTGTTTTCCTCTGGTTACTGTGATTCTGTTGGTAACGAACTGATTCTTTTCGCTTGTTGCTTTGATCCAGTGACGCACAATCATAGAGTCTGTCAAGCAATGTATTATTTACACTCTTTTGTCGAAAAAAGCCTTTGATGTAGCTGCATAATCTCGATGCTACCACCGCTGCCATCAATTAGAGTCGCGCAAATGTGAGCACTTTATTTAGAGCTACGGGGCCTCTTTGCTGTCTCTAGCCATTATTCTTTTCTCTCATCGCTGTACGCTACAAGTAAGTGCGCTGCCGCTCCGTATGCTGATGTGTTTGCGTCGGCAAACACATGAAGCTCGTTCCATATGCTTGTACTGGTTGGCCCCTGTTTGTATAACACTGAATAATTTCTAGAATTGAAGGTCTTCTGCTTCAGACATGAGGTTCCTCGCTTATCGCATTCTTCTTTATGGAGCTGTTCGTCACACGTGAAATTCGTTTGCCACAGTTTCTGCAAGCCTGTCCTTGCTCGTACTGTGAACGGTGACAAAAACTAAGCGGATTAATTATATTCGCTGTTGATTATAACACTGTCATTTTGTCAAGTATATGTCTGCTATGATTCCCACTTGTCAACAGCGAAGGAAATTATGTCCTTTGAGTATATTCATAAGAAGCCCATAATTATTGTACATTTTTTTAGATCTCATCGTCATGTGAGAGGCGTTCCTTTCGCTTTCATCTGTTATTTTGTTTACCCTCTCTTCATTAGATGTCCATTTTCTCAATTTCATCACTGCCTCTCTGAGCAAATGTTGCTGCTCATCACTGCCTCTCTGAGCAGCGTTGCTGCTTCCATGATGACGTCATCCGCGTAGATCGCTTTTTGCAGTGTCCTTGTCGTACCCGGAAAGCAGTCTTCCACTTGTTTCAAATGGTGCTTAATTGTAGCTGCCAGCAGAAACGTCCTTGGTGTTCTTCCGGACGTTATATTCTTGTAATGCGCCATGTTTACACTTCATTCAGTAACTTTCCTTCGGCATCATGCTTCCACCATTAAAATCTCATTGCATCTCTATCTTCTCAGGTATTAAAGTTTGTAGAAATGCCTTTTCAACATCTCCTACTATTGCCACCTTCTTTTTTCGGGAATTTATCAGCAGCGACAGCACATCCTCATTCAAAGTGGGTCCTGCCTCTAGATTTTCGTTCAAAGACATGACTTCTTGACAGAGTGACGAGGTGTCGAACACTACTCGAACCTTTTTTTGGATCAGTCCTCCGAATTGTCGCATGATGTGGCATGTAGTAGCAAAGTGTATTTTGCTGTTCTGATGGCTTTTGAACTTCTTCTGCAACTCTTAATGTCATATACTCTGATAAAGCTTTGTCGTAACGAGGCATCACGTACTCAATTTTTTGCAGCCTTTTCATCAGTTGCAGTAGTCTTTTTATGGCATTTCCCTTATGGCTTTCCAAAATGACGTCCTGTTTTCTATGGCAAGCTGACTTCATAGCGACCGTTTTGTTGCATATTCGTATGCTCGAATTTAGTGACAAGTTCATTTCCTGCATTATCTGAACTGTTTTTGTAATCCCAACTAACCCCAAGCTCCAAAACTTCTGTAGCTCTTGCTGAAGTTCTGTATCCCCCGCTTCCACCTTCAGAACCATGACTGCTTCATTATGGGTTAGTCTTGTCTTTTTTGCTCCGACGGGTCTTGCAGTACCCATCTCAGTATGGTCTTGACAGCCATCAGTCTGTTGTCGATCCTTCGAGTTCTGCCAGTAAAGAACTGCTTAATGTAATCTGGGCCGACGAGCCGTTCTACGGAGTCAGATGCAGTCATCTCAGCCCTGTCATCCGACACTTGCATCTTTAGCTTCTTTTCATTTCTTTGCTGAGTTTCTTACGAGGAACGGGTATACGACTGTGCGAGATAACGTCGACTTGTAAAGCTTTATTCAACGTTGTCTTTCATATGTCTCGTGGCCCTACGGTAGGTCACTTGCACAACATTTATTAAATTGACCCTATGGTCTCTTCCAAATGAACCAATTATCGGCCTTCCCTGTCGCAACATTTTCGCTCCTATCTCTTTCGCTAACCCGGCTTGAATAAATGAACGTTGACTTCCCTGTCAAATAGCAAAAGGCAGTGTCGGCCCCATGTTTCTCCTTCATCGCATGCTACAGCCGTATGCAGTAGCAAATATTTACACTTGATATTTTTCGTCGCATGCAGCGTTGATGCCATCGCTTCGACTTGCGTTGTCGAAATCAGTTCTAGCCTTGCTTTTTGCCCCACAATTCTACACACTGACGTGGCATGTCGACTCTTGCATTGCTTGCATTTCACTTTGGCGTTGCAAACGCGTGCAGTGTGGTTTGGGCGCGTGCATCTGAAGCATGGTCTATTTTCGGTAAGCATAGCTTTCTTTTCATTCATTGGAATGCTTCGACGACAGCCTTCAGTGGAATGATTGTTCTGCTTGTAGAATAAGCATATTGTCACGCGGTGAGAGTAGGCAGAGGGTATAAATATATTTACAGATTGTACACGAAGTACACAGTGTCCTTGAACCAAGATGGAGAAGTGGCAACAACAACACGAGCTTTTGTTCAATCGTCATCTTCATCGCCTTAATGGAGCATTCGTTGATGTTAATGATTACTTGTATCATATAGCCGCCGCCGGTGAAAGCGCCGTCTCGGCGCTTAAAAAAACGTGCGATCCTGCGCAGAGAAGTACAGCTTAAGGCGGGAGACGTGTACAATATCAGTGGACGGCAGAGACGATGAGAATGGAGTGTCCAAGGGGGCGATCTCATAGGTGACCTCGATCAGTTGGCGCAAGACTCTGTAAGGCCCGTTGTAGCGAGCAAGGAACTTCAAGGACAGGCCAACGTGACAGGAGAGAGTCCAGAGCAAGACCAACGATCCTGTGGAGTAAGAGACAGCTCTATGACGGCTGTCATAGCGATCCTTTTGAGATAGCTGCGAGGCAGAAAGGCGATCCCGGGCAATCTGGTGGGCCGCTCGAACCCAAGTAGCTGCATCGCGAGCGTACTCGGTAGGAGTGTCAGTATGCGACAGCAGAAGAATGCCAAAAGGCAAAGCGGGGTTACGGCCGTACAGGAGATACAAGGGAGGAAAGCCAGCGGTGTCGTGTCGTGACGAGTTCTAGGCAAACGTCACGTAAGGCGAAGTGGCATCCCAATCACGATGATCTGCGGAGACATATATGGATAGCATTGCCGCCAGTGTGTGTGGTTAAGGCACTCGGTGAGTCCATTTTTTTGCGGGTGGTAGGCAGTGGTGAGTTTATGACGTGTGGAACACGAGCGAAGAATGTCGTCCACGACCTTGGTGAGAAATGAACGACCATGGTCGGTCAGCAGTTGACGCGGCACTCCATGGTAGAGAATAAGGTCATGAAGGAGAAAATCCGCGACATAAGTAGCACAGCTTGTTGGTAGCGCTTGCGTGATTGCAAAGCGTGTCGCGTAGTCTGTTGCCACCACTACCCAATTATTCCCATTAAGATAGGTTGGAAATAGTCCAATGAGATTGAGGCCGACGCGGTAGAACGGGTCTGTTGTAATGTCAATAGGCAGAAGTGGGTCAGGTGGTGCCAATGAAGGATGCTTGCGGCGCTGGAGAGACTCACAAGATACAACGTATACGCGCACATAGCGGTAAAGGCCGGGCCAGAAGAATCGGCGCCGTACGTGGGGATACTTGCGGGCTGCTCCGAGATGTCCAGCAGCTGGGGCATCATGAAGTTGTTCGAGCACAGTGGGACGGAGCGTTGCAGAAGAACCAGAAGAAGTTCCGGGCCTTCGGTATTTTTGTTGCACTGATAGAGTATTCCGTCATTAGGCGTGAACAAGCAAAGGGAAGGATCCGAGGGGTCAGAAGCTGGACGGCGTGTGGTAGACCGCAAATTGGCTTCACTGAGTTGTTCAATACGTATGTCCGTGAAATCTGAAATGGCGAAGACACAGGCATCAGAATCGTGCACTGACAGGTCAGTGGGATCGACGGGATGGCGAGATAGACAGTCGGCATCCCGCGGGGTGCATTAGGCCAGACCTGTAGGTCGCGTCAAAGCTATATTCCTGTAGCTTCAAAGCCCGATGACCCAGGCGTCCAGAAGGATTTTCGAGGGAGGACAACCAGCACAGGGAGTAGTGATCCGTGATGACCAAAAAGTGGTGGCCGAACAAGTATGCTCGGAATTTTCCAACTGACCATACAAGAGGGAGGTGCTCGCGCTCAGTTATGAAAAACTTGCCCTCGGATGGAGAGAGAGGCGACTTGCGTAGGCGATTACAGGATTTTGACCCTGTTGCCGCTGGGCGAGGACAGCGCCAATACTATGTCCACTGGCGTTGGTGCGTATTTCAGTGGGCGCTGAAAAATCGAAATGACCTAAGATGGGCGGTGAAGTGAGCAACGCAGTAAGTCGGCGAAACGAATTGGCTTGCTGGGGACCCCAAGAAAACCACGTATTCCTCTTCAGTAGCTGTGTCAAAGGATGGGCAATGTCGGCGAAGTTGTGGACGAAATGCCGGAAATAGGCACAGAGGCCGACAAAGCTCCGAGCATCTTTCGTGGAACGTGGTGTGGGGAAATCTTTGACGACGCGAATTTTGTCGGGAACGGGTTGCACGCCTTTAGCACTGACAAGATGACCTAACATAGTGATTGTTTGGCGGCCCAAACGGCATTTGGAGGAGATGAGCTGTAGGCCTGCCCTTCTGAAAACTTCCTGACCAGCTGACAGACGGCTAAGGTGACTTTCGAATGACGGCGAGAAGGCAATGTTGTTATCGAGATAACAAAGGCACGTTGACCATTTGTAACCCCGTAGCAGGAAGTCCATCCTTCTCTTAATAATAGCGGGAGCATTGCATAGGGGAAAAGGCATTACCTCAAACTGTTAATTTTCATCTGGTGTGACAAATGCAGTCTTTTCACGGTCCAATTCGTCGACTGAAATCTGCCAGTATCCTGAACGCAGGTCGATAGAGGAGAAGTAGGCAGACCCATGCAGGCAGTCGAGAGCATCGTCATTCCGTGGCAGTGGGTAGACGTCCTTGCGCGTGACCTTCTTTAAGTGAGGGTAGTCGACGTAGAAGCGCAAGCTGTCATCATTCTTTTTTACTAGAACGACTGGTGAGGCCCATGGACTGCAAGATGGTTCAATGACGTCTTTTGTAGGCATTCTATCAACTTCATGTTTGCCCACTTGTCGCTCTGCAAGTGACACGCGATAAGGACGTCGTCGACTTGGGCTGGCGTCTCAAGTGTTGATCCTGTGAGTAACAACTGACGTCTGACCTAAAGGGCTGTCGCCGAAGTCGAAGATGTCCCTGAAGTATGACAAGGTATGCCGGAGATCAGCTGCCTGTGCTGGAACGAAGTCTGGCACGATAATCTTGTCAAAGTCGGCATCAGTGGAGCTGTCTAAAGAGGACGCAGTAGCGGGCAAAGGAGCGTCTGCAACGAATGCAGAAACAGAATTTTCACTGCTGGAAGAGACGTTGGCTAGAGTCATGCTATCTTGAACAACTTGAGCGCACCAGCTGAAGTTCAGTATCGGAATAAACGACACATTATTCGCAATCTTCAACAGAGTATAAGGATGGGCAATATTTCTGTCTAATAACACGTCCCAAATCCATGCCAGCACATAATCGCCGTTGAGTACCGGAGGAAAAGACCTCGTGGTTACATAGGTAACGGCTTGAGGCGCTAGGCGAACGTACTCGACAGAACACAAACGTGGTTGAGGTGTAGTTGGAGTGCCATAGCAATACGGTAGGTCAAGCTGAAGCAAGCCTATTCCACAGTCAACCAAGGCAGAGTGCACGGCAAGAAAGTCCATGCCCAGGATGAGTTCATGAGAGAACTTCTCGACCACGGCCAAAAGCACAGTTGTGGAGTGGTCAGCAACACTAACACATCCGGAGCACATCCCAAGCACAAAAAAAGTTCCACCATCGGCGACTTGGATGAGCGGCACTGTGGGCGGTGTTAAAACCTTTTTAAGGTGGCGGCGAAGGTCCTAGTTCATCACCAAAATGTGGAACCCTGTGTCTACAAGGGCAACAACAAGTGCATCGTCTACTTTAACATGTATGAGGTTGCGTCGTGTCGCCATAGTCAGAGGATTTGGCTGGAGAATCGTCGATGCAGCATCACCTGTGGCAGCTGCATCGTTATGTTTTCCCGAGCCAGATGTGCAGTCGGCGAAGGAGGACGGCGAAATTGGGGTGAGCGCGACGATGGGCGACGAGACAGCGCTGAGCGCGACTGGTGGCCTGGAGGGGATGGTGAACAACAACGCACCGTCGACGAACCGTCACCACCGGCTGGCCGAGGCGACTCGTGGCGAGTTCTGAAGCGGCCATCGCGACCGTTGTAGTGATAGGAAGGCTAACTCCAATACCACCTGCTATTGCAATAGTGGGCCACGTGACCAACACGATGGCAGTTAAAGCAAATGGGCCGGTCATCAGCAGCCTTCCACTCAGCGGGATTGCGAGAGAGCGCGCTGGGAGCCTCTGGCCTTGGGCGTAGGAAACTGGCGGACAACGGTTAGCCGGTCGGGAGGGGGCGGCGGTGCACTCATATTCCAGGCCAACGTTCGAAAGATCTTGGCGAACGATGGCGTGCACTAAAGGCACCATTTGGGAACTGGACTCACAGGTACGAGAGAAAGTTGAAGCGGGAGACATAGCTTTAAGTTCTCGACAGATGATCTTCGTGACGTGCTCTGCAGTCAGCGTTGCCTGTGGTACAGGCATGTCTTCGCACGACCATGTCTGTGGTGTTGGGAAGTCGAGCGAACTGATGGGAAATACGTCGGCTCTTGGCGGCCTGAAAACGCTGACACTCGCGGACACTGGCATCTACTGTGTCACAGTCCTTGCAAATAAGCAAACTGAACGCGTCATCGGCAATAGCTTTTGTGCGCATATGTGCGCCAACTTCTCGTACTCCTCCATGCCGTCGTCTGCTCTGCGGCAAAGGGCGAGCACGTCCTGTATGTAAGACAGATACGACTCCGATGGCGTGTGAGCGCGAGATGCCAGCTCCTTCTTGGCCGCTGTCTTCCTGCCAGTCGATTTGCCGAACAGTGCACGCATCTTTTGTTTGCACGCATCCCAGCTGCCAATTTCCGCTTAGTGGTTCTCAAACCACACTTTGGCTGTCTCCTTCAGATGAAATAGGATGTTCGCCAGCATGAGCGTTTCGTCCCAGCAATGATTCTTGCTTGTTCGCTCGTACAGCGGCAACCATTCTTCAATGTCGACATTGTAAGTCCCGCAGAACGTGCCAGGGTCTTTCGGCTAGGCTATAGCAACCATCGTCGTTGTGGTGGCCGCTGCGGGAGCTGGAGCCGGACCTTCTTGTGCCATCGTGGAAGAAACCAAGCGTCGGCCACTGCGTAGCTGCGTCTTGTTACCCCGCACCACTACCAAAATGTCGCGGGTTGAGAGAAGGCAGAGGGTAGAAATATATTTATAGATTGTACACAGAGTACACAGTGTCCTTGAACCAAGATGGCGGAGTGGCAACAACAACACGAGCTTCTGTTCCATCGTCATCTTCGTCGCCTTTATGGTGCATTCGTTGATGTTAGTGATGACTTGTATCAATATCATGTCCGCTAAGCTATATATGCTTGAAGATTGTATATCTGTCAGCCGTCATCCAACGGTTTCGCAGGTATCCTCTCTTGTTCAAGTTGCGTTTCTTCCCGAAAAACTGCTTGCTCTCTCAAGAATAACATAAGCCTCTCAAGCATTTTGTCACACTCTCTTTCTGATGGGTTGCTTTGCTCACCGTCTTCTGAAGCTGGGACGTTTCTCACAGCTTATTTTGACTTGAAGTTCACTGATGATTTTCGTGTAATTGATCAATACTGGCAACAACATCAGCAAATAGCTATTGGTTTCCTCTTTTAGTGACTTGAGTGCGAATATATCTATTTGAACTCTCTTTTATAGCCTATTTAGGTCATCGCTGTCTTGAGCAGAACTCACTTTATCTAGACTCAAGAGCTCACTCATGTGCATCTCAATTGATTGTTCGCAATTTCCGACAGCTGTTTGCAGTATTTTGATTGCTTCGTCATAATTATCCTCTGCCGAGCACTGTAGCCCTTCGATAGCAGCAGCCGCCTTTTCGGTTAGCGAAGCTATCAAGTAGTTGAACTTTTTTCCCTCGCTCATGTTTTGTACAAGGTGAACTGCGGACTCGTAGTAAGCCGAAAAGCGGTTCCATTGCAAAGCTTTTCAGCCGAACTTTATCATTTCAAGCTTTCGTAGCTTCACTAGCTCCGTCGCGTCCTGTCCCGTACTTGCTGACGTCGTCTCATTTGTCCTATCGTTTAAATCTGATTGTGCAGGCTGCGAAGTCTGAATTCTATTGAGGACAAGGTCATGGTTATTTTATGTCGTACTCTATCACCCTTTCGAATTCAGCTTCGGCCCTGTATTCTGTCAGAAACTTTTCCATTTGCTCATTCGCTTTCTTCAGACTGTCGCTTATTCCTTTATTCTGCGCCTGCATTGAGAACAGCTGCTCCTAGTGAGATCCATCATTAATCTGCTGCTCGGCTGCGTTAATCAGCTGCATGATCCGGTAGCGAGGAGCTTTCCTTTTCTTCGTTATCACTTCCAAGTTCATTTTTAGGCAAATAACAATGACGTCTTACTTGTCATTCGTCTGTTCTGATGCTCATTCATACTGTACACTGTGGTCTCGTCGCTCGATCCAGGTCGATGCCCCGCTCCTCCGCCGTTTTCTTCTCTGCTGCTCCAACGCAGATCGGTGGTTTTTGCAGACGAGGAGGTAGCATCCTGGTTCGTGGCATCATTGTTAAGATGATTGAAACCAGGGACTGCTTCGAACAAAAAAACGGTTTATTAGAAAAAGTGAAGTAGTGCGCTCTCACCAGGCAGCATTCTTTTCTTCTTCTCATGGCGTTTAATGATATTATATAATTACCCAGCAGACCTCATTCTTCAACCACGAATAGTCTAAATTGCCGTGCTCCCAGGTTAATTTTACACAGAAACTTTAGGGCCCAATAAAATTTCACCTTGTCGGGCCGATGGGCCTTTATCAGTAGCACGCACGGTGGAAGCAGGGCAAGAAGAACACAGGCACACTGCACATGCGCGGGACGAGCGTCAGCATCGAAAAAGCCACAGGGGGCGGAATGGGGGCGGGGAGGTAAGAAGGGGTGCGAGACAAGCCCAGTGCTTTTTCGGTGGCAGATGAGAGATGGGATGCGACGTGCGTGCTACAGTGGCGCAGCCTCACCGGTGGGGGTATAGTCAATGGGGCTCTTCGATTTTTAGGCCTCTGGCAGCCCGAGCTAGCCAGAGTGTCACTCAGCTAGTTCCGGTTCGGACAGGAAACAGCGTCGTGGTCACGTGTGTGGGGAACCCGAGACAACCTGAAGCTGCCCGAAGATCACAAAATCGAATGCTGGGACAGCCAGCGTAAACGTAAACAAACTCTACCGTCATGAAAGCAAACGAAACAGTGCACCGAGTGTATGTTGTTTTTTTTCTACATTAGCCGCTTGGAAATACGTAGCTAAGCTTGCCAAAAAGCTAAAATAATATCCTCGAGCGTACGATATGGGGTACGACTTCGTACGCTCGCACGATCACTTACCGCGTTCGCGAACGAAACAGCCAGCTGGCGCATGCTGCCTCGAGAACGATGCAAGGTGAGCTGCCGCGACGCTGACGGCTTAACGAGCTCACGCCTTTTTAGTACATGTATCAGTCACTGCACAACACGACGCGAAGTCACGCGAAAGTTGTCGTGTTCCTGAAAGGTCTCGAGGATATGTACTTGCTCAGCTATCGCGTATTATACGTCACAAACACACGTTGAGCAGCTTACGTTTTAGGGGCGAAGCTCCTTATAACGGCACTCGTTCGTCCCTCGTAGCCGTTGTAGTGTGTAACAAGTATAACATTTTGACCTCCAAGGTGGTGCTAGTGAGAGATTTCTTCTGTGCGTTGCCGAACAATAAAATATATTGCTCAGTGTACATGCCAATGGCTGCTAAGGGGGAATGAGAGACAAGATCATTCGGCTTTTAGTTAAGGTGCACGCTGCGATCCTTATTAGCAGCCGTTGGCATGTACATTGAGCAGTATCTGACAAGAAAGGGTTGCTACGTTTTACTCGCTGGGTGTAACCTCCTTAGTTTTAGAAAGGTTTGGCGAGCGTCCAGCCGCAGTGCCATGAATACAATGAAGTAGTATATTCCATGAACTCGTGGTGGTTATAGGTGGGAAGTAGATACGAAGCGCAAGCCATAAGAAAGTAAAAGCCGAATTCTCCTGTCCCTCATTTCCCATTAGCAACCATTGGCATGTACATTGAATACTATCTGACAGGAAAATGTTGCTACGTTATACTCGCTAGGCGTAACCTCCTTAGTTTTAAAAAGGTTTAGCGAGCGT